GCAAAAAAAATGTTTGTTTGTTTATTTTTTTAAGTTTATAAAAGGTGGTCGTTATTACCATTTGATCGCAATCATCGCCTCTCCTCAATTTGCTCCGATATACACATTTTCATGAATAACTATTTAAAAGACTGTGGATTCTTGTTCTCTGAAGAACAAAAATATGATTTATGCTCTTCAGAAAGCTGGGAAACAAAAATTATATTCTCTGCAGAACACGAATTCGTTTTTTGCTCTTTATAAAAATGAAGAACTAATTTTTTGAAGAACAAAAACCCTACTGAAGAACAAAAACGCGAAAATAGGCTGAAGAACATATATTCTGTTCTTCAGTTTTCAAAGAACACATTCGTGCTCTTCACCATGTTCTCCAAAGAACGGAAGAACACAGATTTCTAACAGTGTGAGATTGCCTAACCAATTTTGGATGAAGTATCTGTGGATATAGCAACTAGATGATGTGGAATATCATGCCTTACATAAACAGTCAATTCTCGTGATTTGTTAGTAAAATCATTAAGATATAAGAAATGATAAGTAAAGTAAATATAAGTTATACAATTTACAAGAAAAGCCCTAAATTAATTTCTCCTTATTTCTGTAGCTTTGAGCTGACAATGAACATTTAGGGCTTTTCTTGTAAATTGTATAACTTTTCAAAGAAAGATCGTGTAGAGGTGGGAGACGTCTCATTTTAATCAGAAGTGTGCGGGCTAGAATCATGTCTCATTAAAAAACATTTTGGTTATTTTTCAGAGTTCTTGAAAAACTGGTTTTCAAGAAAACCGGGACTTCGAGAGTCATGGGCACGAATCCTTTTAGGGCATTTACTACTTCACTGAGGTCTATCGATCCATATACAAATCATTGGAATTGGAAGGTTACATCTGGAAAGGTTCCCTCGTCAGTAGAAAAACGGTCTTCGCGGAAACATCTACTCACGGTACAGAAATCTTTTCTATTTAGTATTTTAATTTCCGGCGTTTTCCTTTCAACATTTTTCCTTCTCAATATTTTCAGTTTCGATATTTTCCTTTCCCAGTCTATTTCGACGTTTTTCCTTTTCGACATTTTCTCCATTCGATGTTTTCCACCAAGACCAAACCAGCATTGTCGCAAATTTTCGTAAAAGAGGATAAAATTAGATGAATTACGTTTCTAAACACTGCTACTGTAGACCGGAACATTGTAATAAAGTGTATGTTCGAACTATGTTGACTCTAAACTAAAAAACCCCAAATCGATCGCCAGTTTGTCATTAAATGGTTGATGAATCTTAATTTTGAAACCATCATAAACTCATTATAAGATGCTTTTATGACTTATTGAAATAGAACTTTACATAGTTAATCAGTCGCACATCCAACTATTAATTTGAGTTTGACCTGGATACTTATATTACTCACCTTGGACTTCAACACTATTATTTTAGTTTAAGGCCATCTATAGATGTATGTTTTACTTAGATGTGTTATTATTAATGATATCCATTAGTAAAAATCAGTGTTAAATGCATAAGGCTTATCACGACCAATCCAGCTTCGATGGGGAACGCTGTTGAAAAAAGTTTCCCCGCAGGAAGGAGCAATAGTTTTCAAATAGTGAGAGATAGAGAAGTCCTACTCCGGTTTTGACACTCGTAAAACCAATAAAGTGAAGAAAGAAAACATGAGTAGAGAAGGCATTTAAAATTTTTTTTTTGGAATCAAATTATTCACTGTAATTTTGTCTATTGGAAAAAGCTTTCTGTCTTACCGATCTATTGATCTTTGCATACATATTTACTAATTCCATTCTTTGATTTCATTCTGGTAATTCAATAGTTTTGCACTTAAATTCAATTCTACCACTGAGAAAATTGCAGTTAGACACATTTCCACATTCGTAAGAGAGTGTTGGAACAAAAGAACGCCTTATGATTTAGTTCAATTGCTTGAGTGATTAATAAACTAGTACATATAATCACTGATGTTAGTTTATAAACTGAAGATGAATGATATTTTCACTATTTTTCAGGCATTGCAAGCTGCCGGCTTTGTTTGTTGAGGAAAATATCAGTTGCAAACGGCAACAATATATTATTCGTTGCAGAACTAAAACAAGTTTAGATGAAACATTCTTTATCATTGTGGAGCCCCACACATGTTGCCATTTGTTTCGATTTCAGTATTCTATTTACATTCTCAATTTTAACCATCAAAATTTTGGATTTTTGATCGAATTCGGCGTGATGAAAAAAGGTGATAAATCAACACTATGCAATAGAATTGAAAAGATGTATGAAATTGCGCCCACATTTGAATGTTCTAATCAAAATATATATATGTAACGATTGAAAAATAATTGCAACAAATACACGTCTATGGATTCTGGGACCCGGTATTGTTTTTTTGAATAACTCACAATATGTTTGAGTCAGTTCTGAGAACTAGCTTCTCTTTTTTTAAACAAATTTACTCCTATTCTCTAGCATGATACCTTCAACATAAGACTGAGACAAACCACTATACTATAATGACAAAGAATGAAGAACATTAGGACGGTTTTTCAGTTCTTGATATTGTTCAGTTTTTTAATATTCGTAACATTTGTAACCTCTTGAATTTTCTTAATTTTGACTTTCATGTATTGTTTCTGCCCGCAGGATCAAATGAAGTTTTAGGATAAATCATGCTCTAGAATGTTGGATTTGAGATAATCTAGAATTTTTAATGACACTGCATACTGTTTCTGATGTAAGAAAGTCGTATTCATAAACAGCATTCAAAACTATGTACTCCAAGAAAAATTTCTATTGGGCTCTGAAGTTCTTCTCTCAAATCCAGTAGTCTTTTAAAATTGGACCCATCATTTTTGATCATCAAAAGAAATAAACTTTTTTAACAACAACAATAATAATAAAAAACTAGCCTAGTTTCTTTCATCCTTCGTACGTGTCATGATCAGTGGGCGTTTAGTTGTTTGTTTTCTCATTTTATAATAAATAGATGTGCGTCTTTTCTGTTCAAAAGAGTATACGTATACATTCTTGAACTATCATGGTATAACTGCAGATTCAGTTGTATCGTTCAAATGTGCCACATATTATGTAAATATCATATCATGTCATCGATTACGTCATTGTAGCTGAAAAACAGAAGAACTCCTGGAAGATTTGCGAACTTCTGGCTATTTCTATCTTTTTTTTTATCATTATAATAATTCCTTATTTCTCCCTTAAAACGAGATTTGGCTCAAAAAGAATTCAAGCGATAATTATAATATAGTTTTGTTGCAGTTTATACAGGACTATTTCGTCGTGAATTTTTGTAGAATTTGCTGATCTTCTTTTATTGTAACATGTTACAATAAAGGAAGATCAATCAATCAGGAAGATTGTCTGCAGACAATAAGTATTTTGTGATTCACACTCAACGTCATCGAATTTCATTTGATGTACGATTTAAAAAGATAAATTCAACACACAGAAGCAAAATACATAAATGAAAAAGTCGAGATACATTTTGATCGCAGTGCATTTCTGACGTACTTTGACGATCAGTGCCTTCTTATGTTTTTGTATGACTGTTAAATTGTTTAAAAACAAAGACTCGGCTTGAAAACGCATAAATAATTTACTGAAACAGTGCTCGTGGAAGCATTGAATTGTACAAAGAAAGAAAAAAAAAAGAATAACATTGGGGTATTCGACAACAAAAGGAAAACGAAAAATAAGTACGTTAGTTTAAATATCATGCTTTTTAGTCTACAGTAGACGCATACGCACGCACATGTAGAAGAAACCGTACGACCATAATAATGTTTTCTCTCTTTCTTTTTGCTCACGGAAAAAAATCAACTTTTTTTTTTCTTTTTTTCATCATCCTACACATAGTATATTGGCACTTTAATCGCACTACCAGTGTCACTTGAACATATAGAATCATGTTGGTGGTTTTGCATGCGCATTAAGAATTTAGTGAAGTCTGATTTTTCTTGTCGTGAGAAAGCTTAACGTTTTTTTACAACTTTTAATTTTTCCAGATAAAATTATACATTCTTTCATTTATCTAACAAGTTAAAATAAAAAATGTGTGGTAAGTACAGATTTTAATTTGTTCAACATGAACACAATTTTTTCATATCGTAGTAAATACTATCCTGATTCATAATCAGGATATTATTTGCTATTGTTCTCTTTTCACATTTATTGATCATTATCAATTCTGAACTAACTATGAGTATACGACAACCATGAAGTTTTTATTGAAGAAAAAAAATGAGCATACAATAGCCAAAACGCTCAAGTTTATTTAGCAGTAATGCCTGACAATATTCTTACTTTATCGTCTCCAGTATGTAACAGACGGCAATTGGACGGCCTAAAACCGGGACTCCCTGATGATATGAATGCGCATTTGGTCACTGCTAAGTTTAATTATAGATCTCAAACATGCTATGTTCATTAAGCGTATGAAGTTGATTTGAATATCTTAAACTGTGTTTAAGTCATCCTGATATCGTTCAGTACTGCTTTATTAATGATAGAGATTATTTAGGTATATTTGGCTATTTGAATTATTTGGTTAAACGTGATCGTCGTTTTATTGCTGATATACTAATAAATGGTTTACATCGTCTTGAATATCGTGGTTATGATTCATCGGGTATTGCATTTGATGGTGAATTAGATTTAACATCTAGTGATGGTAAAAGACGACAATGTGTTGTTGTAAGACAAAAGGGAAAAGTGGAAGAATTAGAAATACAATTGGCTAGTGAGTGATGATGAGAAATAAAATAGTTTGAAATAAAATATGTTCTACTGGTTTTTAACTTGTAGCACTGAAAGATATGAACTGGAATGCTGAATTTACTGTTCATGTTGGTATTGCACATACACGTTGGGCAACACATGGTGAACCGAGTGCTGTTAATAGTCATCCACAACGTTCAGATGAACACAATCAGTTTGTTTGCGTTCATAATGGAATAATAACAAATTATAAAGATATCAAACAGTTTCTGGTTAGTCAAAATGAAAAACATCTATTTATATGTATATTCATTCGTTGCTGCACGTTTTCAGATAAAAAAAGGATATCAATTTGAATCTGAAACCGATACAGAAGTTGTTGTTAAATTAGCCAAATATCTTTACGATAAACATAAAGATGAAAATCTTAGTTTTCAAAAATTAATCGAATTAACGTGTTCACAACTCGTAAGTAGTTTGAATATACATGAATCAGGCTGTATTATGCTTATTTTTGGTTTCAGGAAGGTGCCTTTGCATTACTCTTCAAGAGTGTACATTATCCAGGAGAATTATGTGGAACACGGTATGTTCTACTCATAATAAGGTAAAGAAAAGAATTTATTTTAATAAATAATTTTAGTCGTGGAAGTCCAATGGTTATTGGCGTTAAATGTGCTGATCAATTAGCAACAAATCACATTCCAGTTATGTTTAGTAAAGGTAAGATGGCAGAATAGATTCTCGTCAATAAAAAACGCGTATATGACTGTCACTTCTTGGATACTGGAAAAATTTTGTGGAACATACAGTGCTGAAGTCGAAAATATGTGACTGTAGTGTCAAAATTGGCGTAGTACATTTTGTGCGACTACAAAAATGTTTACAATGTAGTTTTAGTTATAGTTTATATGTTTCTGTGATAGGTTTAATCGATAACAGGTTAACTAAAGGTAGAATTTGTTTAGTTTCACTGTTGATCATATTTGTATAGTTTGACGCTTATCCTTCGCAATATATGGCCTTTTCTTGCTTTAATAAAAGATACTCGGGGAAATTTATTATTTTTTCGTCCGTCTTCTTTTGCTCAATTTACAGATTATCCAACCTGTTAAAATACAAATGCTAAACTGTTTTCGGTATAGTGTATTTCTATATTGTACATATAATACTTTTAAAACTGATTGTAAATAGAACTGAGAAGGATCAGGAAATAGTTAACTTGAAATTATCATGGTTTATGAATTACGTTGTGCAAAGCCGTTCATTGTTCTTTTGTACGATGTTTTCTCGCTAACATAGTTTACTTGATTATATCACATAAGTAGATTGTAACTATTACATATTTGAAATAATAGTTGTAAATGAATCTTTAACACTTTATTTTATCTAATCTTTTTTCAGCTTCGATAGAGTCGCAAGGTAGTATGTTGTTATTCGTATAGTAAAATTATCGTCAAAATCACTGGTGTGCGGTACTTATTAGTTAGTATGTTAGAAACCAAATCTTTTTGTATTGATCTGCGCATAAAAAGCTTATTCCTACATATAATATTTTGATTCTTACGACTTATTGCACATTAAAGACCGTACGACTACTTACCCTATTTTGTAAAAAACGCTCTTAAGAGAAGTCTTGAATGAATGTAGTCTGTTATTTCCGATATAGCATACGTTTTGACTAATATCTGACAAAATTTATATTCTATTTTGTGTACAGTAAATTATCATAGCGGCAAAGATGTTCGTATGACAACAACGCTTAATACTCATTTATCAGATTCTATTCCAACAAGTAAAAGCTTTTAATAACGTAACGAATGCATGTAAAAATGTCTGCATGAATTCATTTTTGAACATCCAATGAATGGACTTTGGAAAGTTTTTCATTTTTTTCTCAATTGCACTTCACTTTTATTTTTGGAGAATGTCATCTTTCTCTATCTATTTCGGTTATGCCTTATGTAGAAAAAGTGTAGCATTTACAAAATTCCTACTAACGTTTCCATATTCTTGCATGATCATTTCATTTTAAGAATCACTGAACACAGAAATGAAAAAAAACACTTTAGGATGTTTTAGCGAAGACGATTCAATTTACCAGACTTTTCACATAACTATTTGTTTAACGCTTGATTTAGTATTTGCTTATTGCATGGGTTTTTCAAATAGTTAGGTTTTCGCCATGTTTTATCAATATCATTTATTTTATTTTTTATTAGACCTTCGTGGCGTATTTTCACCACCACTTTTAATAACTGATCACACAACGTCCGATTTAAGTGTAACAGGAAATGATAGAAGTATTGAATACTATTTTGCATCCGATGCCAGGTATGAATCAGAAGAGAAGCGTTATCAAGGTTTCATATTTTACAAGTGAATGATATCCTTTTTAGTGCTATTATTGAACACACGAATCAAGTTATATTTATGGAAGATGATGATTTGGCATGTGTGAGCAATGGTGCACTAACAATTCATCGTACACAGCATGGTGATGTTACCCAGTCAGCCATAAGAGAAATTCATGAATTAAAATTAGAATTACAACAAATAATGAAAGGTATGTGTCTGACGAATGAGAAATGAGAGGTTGTAAACAACTCTATGTGTTTAGGTAGTTATCAATATTTCATGCAAAAAGAAATATTTGAACAACCTGAATCTGTGGTGAATACTATGCGTGGTCGTGTATGTTTTGACACGCAAAAAATTCTGTTAGGTGGTATTAAAGATTATCTTAGTGAGATACGTCGATGCCGACGTTTAATTTTGATTGGTTGTGGTACAAGTTATCATAGCGCCGTGGCAACAAGACAATTATTAGAAGAATTATCGGAATTACCCGTTATGGTTGAATTGGCATCGGATTTCTTAGATCGTAGTACACCCGTATTTCGTGATGATGTATGCATATTTATCTCACAATCAGGTATAAGCGAAAGTATATATTAGTCAAACATACTGTAAGCTGCATTCTTTTCAAGGCGAGACAGCCGATACAATTTTGGCATTGAGATATTGTAAACAACGTGGTGCACTCATATTGGGTATAACAAATACAGTTGGCTCAAGTATTTCAAGAGAATCTCATTGTGGTGTACACATTAACGCTGGTCCAGAAATAGGTATATTTGTGCCAATATCAGTTTGACCAGTCATTAGCCAATGTTTTATCTAAAAAATAGGTGTTGCCAGTACAAAAGCATATACAAGTCAATTTATTGCACTTGTTATGTTTGGCTTAGTGTTAAGTGAAGATTCGTTATCAAAAGAACAACGTCGTAGAGAAATAATCCAAGCTTTACAAGAATTACCCAATTTACTTAAACGTGTTCTTAGCTGTGATAAAATGATACAAGATTATGCCAAATCACTCTATAAAGAAACATCATTATTGGTCATGGGACGTGGTTTTAATTTTGCAACGTGTCTTGAAGGAGCACTGGTATGTATTCGGTCGCGAAGTCAATTTCTGTAGTCGAGGAAGTGGAAATAGTATCACTGTCAATGAACGTCAGTCAAATATGCATAAACTTGCTAAGGAACTTTACTATAAAGATTTATTCTAAGTAAATATATCACTAAATCTTAGATAAAATTCTGCATATTTTAACCAGGCAACACCCTGTTGTCTATCGAGAATCATATTCAGATTTTGATGTGATATGAGTGATCAGCATATAACGAGAACTATATTCAAACTATACACAATTTCAAGTTACTGCCTCATATCGCTCTGAAGTAGACATGTGCAGGATAGCTGTTTGTTGAGTCATGGTCGTGGTCTTACCCTATCCTGCAGAATAAAGTAAGGGTGTCCTGCATATCTCTACTCTCTAAAACTTTTTGTATCGTACGGAACCAAAAAAGATTATTTCCATGCCGGGATGCCCTTTTTGGAATCTCTGAGTAACAAATGTAGATACCTTCGTTTTTTTGGTACTGTGGAATTAAGAATAGTCTCAAAGAAATCTTACAAAACCAAACCGAGTATGCTGAAATAGGCTTTTTTTTCTTCAGAGTAGTCTGCAGATACAGAGGATCAAATATCTACGATGATCAGTGTGTATTTGCTATAAAATCGACAGACGGTGATCGTCTAAATCTAGGAGAGAGTTAATTATTATTATTATTTAGAAAGTAAAAGAATTAACATATATGCATTCCGAAGGAATATTGGCCGGTGAATTAAAACATGGTCCGTTGGCTATGGTCGATGACACAATGCCAATTGTGATGATTATTATGGATGATCCAGTTAAAACGGTAAATATATCGACATTTGTGTACCTGATGAGATCTTATTGTTTTTTCTTTTCGAATTTAAGAAATGTATGAATGCATATAATCAAGTATTGGCACGTGGTGGTCAACCAATGTTAATTTGTAACGAAAATGATGATGAATTAATCAAAATGGCTCATCGTCATATTGCCATGCCAAGAACAGTTGATTGTCTTCAAGGTATTCTATGTGTTGTTCCAATGCAATTACTGTCTTTCCATATTGCTGTCTTACGTGGTTATGATGTTGATTGTCCAAGAAATTTAGCCAAATCTGTTACAGTGTCTTAAAAACCAAGTACTGTGTGAGTGTTGATATAAGCGTATGTTATTTCTTATTTTAAATTTTTGTTGAACGTTTTCTTTTTATTGTTATTGTTAGAATTTTATTTTATTTTTTAATGTAATATTACGGCCTAATGAACATAAACGCTTATTATTATAAAAATCATTTAGGACATGAAGAATCTAGACAACAACCGTGAATTCTATTTTCTTGTTTTTAAAAATTCGTGTTTAAAGCAACTATACAACAATTTATTTTTTATTTCAGCCAATTTTTAGCAATTTTTCCTTAGTTACAGTAGATAAAATAGCGTCATTTCCGGCAGTGAAGGTGCTTACTTAGTGTCCTATGCTGCAATCATGATATCTGACATTTCTGTTAGTTTTTGTATTAGGTTTTCTGGCGGTCAAATAACTTGTATGAGGATAAAAGAAAGATTCAGAAAATAAGTGGCAAATGCTCCGCCGAATTAGAGTTATTTTCAGAGTTCTGACTTAAAAAACGTGTAGAGAATGAGTGGACGCGAAATCTAAAATCGCTACGAATAAACTTTAGATTTAGGTATCTATTTTCATTGAAACCATCCGCAGCTTTCTGCTCCTTCCAACAACAAAGTTTTAACATTTTTGCTGAGAGTCCCATTTTGCCCGTTGTCACACAATAACACGTCATCGCGTCAGTATTTCAAGCTCAAATGTTTAGCATAAGCTAGGTGGACAGTAAGTATCAGTCACTGTAAGCGCCATCGACATCGGATGTAAGATAAAGAAGTTTTTTTCTGCGGAGGGTCCCCCTTAAGAACAAAATGCTGTGGATGATTGTCTGTTGAATAACTTTTGATAGAAAAGGGTTAGAGATCCTCCAGTTTTTGTTGTTTTGTAGAAGAAATTGATTGTCTGAAACAGTGATGTACCTGTAAGATCTTTGAACAACCATATTGGTAAGCCACGTCTTTCGATACGAATCTCTATGCTCACCTATATGTGTTTGAAGTCCAAGGTGTCGTTCTCTAAACATTCAAGCATACTCGAGCTTTCCGTCTATCACGTTTTGAGCAGAGGCTCAGCTTTTTTAAATTTAAAAATCCTCGATTTTTAAATGGGCTTAGTTTTATTTGAGTTACATTTTTAAAACACTAAGGATGTATAGAAGAGAATGGATGATGAAAATTCTGGACTTGCTTTGATGATAGATTGATTTATAGTCCAACTTATACTTAATACATTAATTACTGTAGCTCACTACATATACTATTGAGATATGCGAGATTTATTTCACCTCTGCATTCTCGCGAGCTAACTTCACCAACAGATTTTTCACTGTTTATACTTATTATCAAGGCACGAAGGCATTATCGAATATCACACACTACTGGAAACAACTGATGGATATTTGGTTTGGGACAAGGTTACACTATTAGTCTTAGACTTTAAATTTTTCTCAATGTCTGCTTTAACCTTTTGCTTCACAGCTAATATCCATTTTCAATATCCATTACTTTCGAGGAGTACCCTATTATATCGACGATCGCTCTGAGCATTTGTGATAACTTTTCGTTATCTTTGAAGTTAACGTGAAGTGAATAATATAATTTCTTGATTTTGTAATTTTTAAATTGACTAATGTATCGAAAGATTTTTGAAAGCCGCTTTATACAAATATAATGAACAGCTTCATTCATGTAGCCTAGCATATAGTTAATGCCCGAACGATCATTTATGTCAATATCTGAGATTCGAATGGCATAAGAATATTTATAGTAGAGCATATAGGGTGATCACGAGTCTTTGGCTTCGTGTAAGGCGTCATACATATGCATGATTATCTTTCATAAACAGTAAAAGATTAGAACAATACAAGTTTCTCTGAAAGCAATCCTTTACTTAAGAGTGAACACAATACATATAGCTAATACTTAGAAATATGTATCGTATAAGAGAAAATGTTCGGCCAAATTTGATGATGGCTACAGTTAACAACTACCATAGTCAATTATTCTCATAATTGAATCATTTTTTAAGGTGAGAAATTTCAAAATAGATAATAAGATATAAACCACCTTTATCATAATGAAAAGTCTCGCTATTTTCTGTTAGACGTTTCGTCTTTATTCAAAAGACATCATCAGTCAAATGTGACACTCGATAGTTGATTCTGAAGACAGAAAAATAAGAGATAAACCTGATAATCTGATCAAATGCTTGTGTATCAGGGTAAAACGGATCTGTTCTACCAATGAACTGTTTGAAAGAGAACTACGATACTATACACGAATCTTTACTGCCAATGGTTATCCGTTGAACATTGTGAAGAAGACGATAAGAGGGATAAAAATGAATAAGAACTTACAAAAGCCTGTTCAACCTTCAAACATTAGACAATGCTACATTTCATTTTCTTACTACAGTATATCCTCATTAGTTTTGGCAAATAAATTAAAACTTCTTCTGCAAAGTCCACTGAAAAAGGTGACTTTCGGATTTCAAGCTGTACACACAATATCATCTGTCTTTAGCAGATCAATTCGTGATACCCAGGACGTTAAGAGGGTGGTTTACAAATATGATTGCTGTGGATGTACGAACAGTTATATAGGACAGACAGTGAGAGGAGTAACAATAAGAAAAGAAGAACACCAAAATGCCTTTTATGGAGCAGGATTTTCTAGGATAGCCGTCCATTGTTTGGACACGTGTCATCGTACTAACTGGAATCCAGAAATTCTTGCAGTTGAATCACATCTTATAAAAAGAACTATTAAAGAGAGCTTGTTGATGGACAAAACATGCAAAACAAAACAAAAGAAAAATCTATTCACAAAAAAGTTTTGACCTTAAAGTATTTTGATGACCTTGTACATAATTCACATTTATAGTAGAAAATAGAAAGTTCGATAGAAGTTTTGTTCGATTTATTTTATTTTGTTGTGTTCTACTTACTTGTATTTTCTTTTATCTCTTATTTTTCTGTCTTCAGAATCAACTATCGAGTGTCACATTTGACTGATGATGTCTTTTGAATAAAGACGAAACGTCTAACAGAAAATATTCTCATAATATAAACAATGAAATTTCATACAAAAACGAGGTCATGACATTTCTTTGAAGAATGGTCAGACGTGTTGTGATGCTTTTATTGGTTTACTAAATACCACTCAGTTTTAAGACTTACTTCATTTTTAGGTATTGTTATGATTCTACTCATTTGAATTATAGCCTCCTTCCAGACTCTAACTCTTTGAAAAATATCTTACTGTAAGATGTGTTTTTTTAAGACTGGATTTGTTTGAGTCGAAACATTTTTCTTCTGCTCACACCAATGAAAACTGACATTGGTTGAAATTGACCAAGACCCAAAATATTGAAAACTTTCGAATTCAGTGGGTCATTAGTGGGTCTTTAATAAATATTAATTACGCCGTTTTCAGTGTCCCGGGTGATCGCTTTTCCCTAGTAAATCCTAGTTTCGAACAAAGAAGAGACCAGTTTCCTTTAAAAGGCATCATTGTTTCAATTTGTTGATTCTAATGCATTAGACTTAGTACATTAGTGTTTTTATACCCACACGATAATCTCTTCTAAAATTTTCAACTTCTTAGAATTTTATCTGTCAATCTTACAAGCCGCATATTCGAAGAGAAGAACACCTATATTTTATTCTACACTCGTTCTGCTAATTTGTTTTTGACTGTGTTTTTCTTTGTCTCTTTTGATGTTTGTGAACAATTATAGAGAAAATTAGACTATAATATTAGAGAGAGAGAGAGAGAGAGAGAGAGAGAGGTGTGGTTCAAATTGTTAAAAAGTCGTTCGTAAGCTGTCATAGGCACTAAATGTTTGTCTTTTATTCAAAAGAGGCGACTATGCAACAAATCATTCAGATAATAATAGTGTGTAACGTATAGATTTATGACTGTATAGTTATCAATAAAGTTAAGAAGTTCAGCACGTTAAAACGAAACATTAAAGTGACTTTGACTTAACAGTGATATCGATGTTCTCACAGCTTAGGTTTCAAGTTGTCTTTGAAGGTCAATTCTAACTTCTTTCTCTGAACGTTAGAAGGACTTTTTTGACAATGCGTCGACGGAGGATACATCTTGCATAGTTCGATTCGTGACACACTACTTTTTCTGCAGTCCTGATCTTTTGAAATTTCAGCAAGAGACTAATAGCATGATCTTATACAGCTTATCGACAGATGACTGAAAGGCTTTTGAATCGTTGCATTTTAAATTTTAGTGAAGTAAGGAAAGCTTTCGGCTATAGATTCTCAATGTGTCCTCATCTTTCAATTGATTTACCCATTTTCTATTAGATGTAGGAAATCGATTGTGTAATAATTGAATATTGAAATAACTAAAAAAAACTCTTTCAAAAGAGGTGCAATAAATCTCTTTAATCGCCAATAATAATTCAATATGATCTGATGACTTTTGTAAATGATCACGCGTGTCATCCTACAATTTCAAACTTGAGTGACTTGAGGCGTTCCGAGTCGGCACTTGTTTGATGACATCAAATAAAACTAAGTTTAACACCTCATAATTTTAACGTCAGCTGATCTCAATATAGGAGGACAAGCAAAAGAATACCGCGCATATACAATACACGTTGTTCAATCAAGAAAACAGAACAGAACATTTGAATATCACGTCACATCAAATACATATATAGAACCTATAAAAGAAAAAAAAGAAAAAAAAATTGTTCATACACATGAAGAAAAAAAATATATAAATACTCAATAACTGAGCACACAGAATTAATCATTTACTGAAAACGACGTTCTACAATGGATGTGGCTACTCTGTCTTGTTATGACGAAGAACTCTGTATAACATCAGGCTATTATACCGATGATTCTGATTTTGAATTGGTGAATGCTGCTGAACAACCGTCTGATGATAATATTTTACTCAACCTAATACGAAGGGACAATCATGAACAATGTGCGATCTATTCTACATCACCAAAGACGAAAATTCATCATTCAAAACAGTTGA